TTGATGTGGTCTGACCAAACCATTGTAGCAGGGGAGAAATAGAGGGTGCATGACCCTCAGTCTATGATCTAGTCACGAGGCTTTCTCCATGTCTCTAAATGGCTGGGTGACTCATTAAATCCATGCACTCACGCACAGTTATATGCCACTGTGTGTCTCCCCTCAACTATCTGGGTGAATCATTTCATGTCTCAGATCCTCAGTCTCATATCTGTGAAATCAGAGGACACTAGATCATCTTGAAAATCCTCTAACATTCTGTGATTGGGGGAACCTACTTTAGTTGAGGGTCAGTACCCACTCTGTTAGTCAAGTCAACACACACTTCTTATGAGCCAGGCACTGTGCTAAGCACCTGGGATACAAAGAAAGGCCAAACCAGCCCCTGCCTTCAGGGAGCTCACAGTCTAATGGGGGAAATGACACACAAACAACTCCGTATTAATAAGATACAGATAACGTTGAAGTAATCTTAGAGGGAAGGGACCAGTACCAAGGGGAACTGGCAGAAACTTCTCACAGGAGAGGAGATTTTAGCTAAGGCCTGAAGGAAGCCAGGGTTTCACAAAAAAGCATCGAAACCACCCATGTTTTTCCCCCAAGTGGTCAAAACGCTCAAGATCCTTTTTCTGTGTATTCTGGGTTGTGCTTGGTCTGGCTCCCTTGGGCTTTATTTCAGTGCTATTAGCACTTGGAGTTCAGTAGGCATAACAGATATAAAGACACAGTGATTTAGCAGCTCAGCAAGGGGACGATCTTTGGGCTTCCTGCCCGCCACACACTAGACAGGAGTGGAGTCTTTAGCTGTCCTAATGGGTTGGGCTTCAGTGGAAGAGCACTGGGTATGAGGGGAGACTGTCAGAATGTCTGAATCCAGCCTTGCCTCTGACACTGACTTCGGGGCTGTTCCTTTCGGGGCTCAAGGGCCACCTTTGTAAAATAGAGATAATAATACTGGCGCAAACTATATCATAGGAGAGGCAGCTTGGCATTGTGGATATAGGCCTGAAGATCTGGATTTAAAGTCCTGCCTCTGAGACATATTGGCTGTGAGACCCTGGCCAAGTCACTTAACCTTTACCCACTCACAGGCAGCTCTATGACTATAAATTGAAGATGAGTTATTGATCTGCACTGGTGAAGGGTTTTTCACAATAAGAATTCACCATACTGTTGAAATCACAGCTCTAGAACACTCACCACCCCCCTCCCCAATAACCTCATATGATTGTTGGGGGAAGAAGCATTTATAATAGCACCTACTACACTAGGCACTGTTTTAACTGCTTTACAAATATCTCATCTGATCCTCACAACAACCCTGGGGAGGAAGGTGCTATTATTATCCCCATTTTACAGATGAGGAAACTCAGGCAAATGGAGCCTGGGATCACATAGCTAGCAAGTGTGTGAATCCAGATTTGAATTTGAGTCTTCCTAACTCCAAATCCAGGGCTCCTCCACTGCGTCACCTAGCACTCTTTGTGATTTCTTTCTACGTTTCTGTCCCTGGCAAGGTGCTATATCAATGAGAGACAGTTTTGATGCCAGGTCAGAACTCCGATTCTTTGCTGTTCTGGGATTGTCCTGTTAAGTTCTGCTCTTTAACATTTTCCAAAACTTACATGCCACCAATGCTCAAGTGAGCCCAAAATAAGCCCCCTGCAAATGGCCAATAGGCTTATAATTTTTCTGGCAGCAGAGGCTGATTTTACCCAAAGCTATTAAATGCAGTGTGGTCTACAGATCTCAGCTACCCATTTACATATGTTTGTGGGTTCAGGCTATATGTAAGGCTTAATTAAATTCCAAATTATTCTTTGCTTTCAGTTTATTGACTTAAAGCAGGTCGTTTTCTTTCCCCCCACTTTGCATAAGGCCATTGGCTTTAGCTAGCCCTTCTCTCACCTTCCAGCCTTCCTCTCTGCTCCGCCCCCCTGCTTTCTCCCTTAGATTCATGTTCTATTTTCTTTGGATAGTTGCTGGAGTAGATGAAAGGCAAATTACAGCTGGGGGAGCCCTGGTGATCTGTACAATTAGAGGAAAAATATGCAACCACTGATCTTTAGCTCCATTTGGGCTTGTGCTGTGGCACAATCCCTACAAATCAACACTTAAAATGCAGGCCTTTTCACCCCAGGGTACAGGGAGGCCAGTCAGCATTTGTGTGAAACAACCCCAATGTCAGTGGGAAGGGGCGAAAAAACAAATATGGCACCACTTGGAGTGGATGTATTTCCTGTGGCTTCAGTATCTGAACAGGTTTAAAAACAAGCAGGGTCTCGGTTCTTGCATAACTTTGTAAAAAACTGGGAAAGGCCAGGAAAAGGCTATTCTGAGACTTGTGGCCCAAGAGTTATAATCCTTGGAAACCCTGACTATAATATTTATGCTTTGGCAGAATTTGAAAAACCACATTGTAGAATGCTTTACCTACAACAGTGCTGCACTCTGGGTTCAATCCCAGGGGGCTCAGGGCCTTTTGTCCTTTTGTGGTAGTGACATTATAGCAAAGAAGGGGAGTTATCCAGCTAACATCCAAGGGAGGAAGAATAATGAACAAATTCAAGTGAAAGACCTTAAAATTCGATCACAGGTCAGTAATGAAAAGGATTGATTGAGCCTGGGTCCTTAAAAAACGCAAACAAAATTCAAATGGATTCATGAACATCTGAACATCATCATTTACTAATGGGTACAGAGAGTTTTACTAAAAGCAAAGCATCTTGGTTAAAAATTGATTAACCTTGACAATTGAAGTGCAAACAGTACGGAATTTTCTAATCTTTCTTTTCTGCTGAGGACATGAATTCAAGAGCTGGAAGAGACCCCAAAGACCATTTCGTTCAACCTGTACTTGAACAAGAATCCTCTCCACAATATGCGTATACATGCATATATGTGGATATGCATGTATATAATATATATCACCTTTTGATATTAATGTCTTAGTCTTGGATATCTAGACATGCAAGCAGTCAATAGCCTTTACTAAGGTCTCACATTAATAATGCTGAGCAGTACAATACAGTAGAGACAGCACTTGACTAGAAGTCAGAAGATTTGTGTTCAAGTTCATTTTTGCCAATCATCAACTCTATGACCTTGAACAAGTCATTTCTCTTTTCTAGGACTCCATCTCTTCATCCTATAAAGCAAGGGTCATGAACCAGATATCCTCAAAGTTCTTCCCAATTCTATGCTGTGATTCTACATTGCTAGATAAGAGTTGTGTCTAATTCTGTATTTTAAGGTTGCATGTATAATAGGCGCACATATCAAGTTTACGTCTATGTACTTGGGTGTGATGGCTTCCTTTTTAATAGTGAACTATGCTTAATATTTGCATGGCCTTCAGAAACTTGTTTCAAAAAACCAGTTCCAGGGGCAGCTAGGTGGCACAGTGGATAGAGCACAGGCCCTGGATTCAGGAGGACCTGAGTTCAAATCCGGCCTCAGACACATAACACTTACTAGCTGTGTGACCCTGCAAGTCACTTAACCCCATTGCCTAGTAAAAACAAAAACAAAACAAAACAAAAAAACAGTTCCAAAATCCAGACAGGCATATTTCATAAGAACTTTTCTCTTAAACAGGGGTTCTTAACCATCTTTGCATCATTGATCCCTCTGACAATTTGGTAAAACCTATGGACCCCTTCTCAGAATAATATTTTTAAATGCATCAAACAAGACAGAATTGCAGAGGAAATCGGTTATATTGAAATACAGCTCTCAGAACAAGTTCATGGGCCCTGGAAGAACTCCTGTTCTAGAGCAAGGGTTATACCAAAAAAGAGAGCCCTGGCAGAAATATAGTCACTTCTTTCCCCTTTATCTGCATAGAGTTCTGGAACACTCAAGAACAATGCTTAAAGTCCCTGAGCCCTAAAGAACAGCTCCTAGATTGAAGAAATATCTCATTACCTTTCACTACCAGTCAAATATTTCTGTCTTCTTGATCTTGATCTAGAAACAACTCCTTGAACTTTGCCAGCCCAGAGTTTAATCTTGTCTCACTATGGGGTCTTGCTCTACCTCTTATGCCATATAAGTTATAATTAAGGTGGCCAAAGAGAAGGGTTGTGTGAAATAACTGAAGAGCAGGCTTTGTCACTAAGCCACTTATTCATTCATCAAGGCCCCTGTGGAAGTTCTTGACCCTTTTTAGGTCATGGATGCTTTTGGTAATTTGGCAAAGCCTGTAGACTCTTATCTCAGAATGGTTTTAAATGCATAAAATAAAATACAAAGAAAATCAATTTTATAAAAATATAATTTTAAAAATATTTTTATAAACAAGTTCATGGCCCCCCAGGTTAAGAACCTCTAAGTCTATCAGATGCTTATTTCAATAGGGAGACTGCTGCCCTGTTATGAGCATCCACTTTAAATTCTTGAAAATGCAACCCAGAAGTTCTTTGGGCTCCAGACACACTTCAGGCTGAGGTTATCTGTCTTGTAAGGGGAATCTTTTGCTTAGAAAAATAGGTTAGTACATTCACCATCAGCCATACACTGGAAGACCATGTTATGGATGAGACAAGATGCTCATGTGTCAGGAGAGGGTTAAATCAGACACTGCCCTTTCTTTTCCAAAATTAGCTCTCTATCTGAGTAGACCTGAGAGTATTACTCAGCTTTGCCAGCCCCTCTCCTGTGGGGCCCTATGAAATGATACCACCCATCTCTAGGGTTTTGCTATCAAGAGAAATTTTGTAGAATCACATTTAGCAATTTAGCACTTAGCAACTTTTGCAAAATCCCATACCAGTCATAAAAGCTGGCTCAGCTGCACAGATTGGATGAAATTCCTAACAAGGAGTTATAAAAATAAAGGAATGAAAAGTTGGCATTCAGCCCTGAGGAGTAAACCCACCTACCACCCACAGAAATGCCCTGTAGCTTAGAAAGTAACATGTTAACTTCAGAACCATCAATTTGTTCAAAGTCTCCACTCTGACTTTGTTCTCAGAGGCAAGGAAGAAAAAACCCAGATGTTTGTATAAAAATATCATTATTTTATTACATTCCACACAATACATCTTCAAAGAATTTCCAATGTCCACAAGTTATTTTCACACACAGGCAACGGAGCAATGCAAGGGGATGTCACAGTTCTAGAGAATAAGAATTGGGAGTAAAAATCTCTAAGTGATCTTTTCTCGGTTTGTCTTTGGTAATTTGAGATATTATTTTTGTTTGTCTGTTAATTTCATTTTAAAGAGAGGGTATCTGTACCAACCCCTGAAATGTTACTAGTTGTTTTCCTGCCCAATTCTGGTTTTAAAGAAAACTGCTGGGGTGGGGAGCGTGCATGGCAAAGACTAGGTTTCACCTCACTTCCAGCATCATGTTTTAGCAAGGGGAACCATATGGATTTTTTTTTTTGCCCTAGGACAAAGACTACATGATAACACTTGCTAATATAATGATAAGGAAGGGAACTTCACCTCACAGGCAAAGGTTTCCATCTCACTAATGTTCAAGAGCAGGAGATACTGACAAGGGACCTCATGTGGGAAAATCTTCACAAGCCTGATCTGTGGCATTCTGTCAGTAGCTCTCACATTTCTCTCAATCCTGATGCCACAGGGCTACAACATGCATGTACTCACGTACCATATCATCTTTAAAGCACAGTTAGCTTCCCTAACCCACCCCACCCCCACTTGAATTAAGAATCATAATTTCACTCCCAAAAGCTTCAGGTTGTGGTATATTTTTAACATCTGCAGAGTAACCTGCCTTTTTTGCACAGTACCTGAAAATTACTAAGAAGGAAGGGAAAATACTAAGAAGGAAGAGGGGAGGGGGAAGGAGAGAGAAAGAGAGAGAGAGAGAGAGAGAGAGAGAGAGAGAGAGAGAGAGAGAGAGAGAGAGAGAGAGTGACATCCCCAATTGAAGTACATCATGGGAATTCACAAAGACTAGAGCAATTCTATAGACTCTACCTTGACATGTGCATAAAGACGATGTATTTTTCCCACATAGAGCATCTGATAAAGATGCAGAAAGTTCACAAAGTTGCTGTCATCTTCTTTTAAAGAAGGGAAAATCTCTGAGGGTATATGAAAAGTCAGCCAGCCACTACATTGGCTGGATTTTCTGGGTGGTGTTTCCTAACTCATCATCTTCTTAGGGCACCTACAGAAGCATCTAACAGCTTCATGAAACTAAATTGGCCCAAACTGTTTACTCTCAGGAAGAGAAGCATCGTTGGGGCCAAACCCCTTCTGATCTAGTGCTAACATGGAAATCACAACAAAATCCTCCACATCACATGTTATGCATCTGCCCACCTCACCTCTATTTCCTATCAGGATTTTTGAGAGGGGAGAAAACCTCTTGAGATCTCAAGACACCTTCTGCTCAACTATTCTATCTTTTCCTTTACTGAGTAGAGAAAATTGGAAAAAGAATGCTTAAAAGTACAGCCAGGGCTGCTTTCTAGAATGCAGTAAAGAGAAAGGAAGCATCTTCCCTTCCAAAGAACGAAAGACACTTAATCCTAAAGCATCACTTTTCTGGCTAGAGGCAGAGCTGGGTATTTTGAAGAAATGCTGAATCTCTCTCTCTCTCTCCCAAGCATCCAAACGCTCATCAGTACTGTGTACTGGTAGCCATCTAGAGGCTAAGGAGACAGCTTTGAGTAGAATGTCTCTATTCCCCCACAGAGGTGAAGATGACCATAAACTGTCCTATTGGTGGAGCCATCCACTGTTTCCCTGGGTGACAAATAATTCAAGGGCTACATTACAACATAAGCAGAGACATTAAAACATAAAAAAAAAATCTTGACTTGGATATAGATTCCATTTCATCATTTTATCATTAGGTGATTTCTCTCAGTTACGTCTTTCTCCACGTGGCTTTAGATGGCTTTAATGGGCAATCGAATCATGTTCACCACACTTGCTACTCTAAGATGTAGTCAACATCTGTATTTTATAGGCCAGCAAAATAAGGTCCATCTGCCAGGTGCTACTTGATGCTTTAAGGAGTAGCACATTGGTAAATTTTTAAAAGGTAACTTTCTAGTTCTCTTATAATATTTTAAGTCAGGTGGATAGGTTTGTAATCCAGGGGCTGATAGGGAGACAGCCAGAGTGCTCTACTGGTACCCTGATGATATCAGGAAAAAGTGAGGAAAGCCTCCGGCATGTTGAGTGGACCCCCTCTGGTGAACTTTTGGGAGAACAAGGATAAGAGTCACACCAGATGGGCAGATATCATCTGCATAATTAGAGGAAACTTTTGACCGATGAGAACACAAATCCATCTGAGTATTAAGATACGCCGTCAAAATTTCAATATGATACTAAAGAAGGGGTGGAAGGGACTCTCATCTTTTATTCCCCTGCCCTTCCACAGAACTCAATCAACTCCCCTCCCCAGCTGAGCAGACTTAAGGTACAATATTCCAACCCTTTCTTCTCCACTCCACTCCACTCCACTCCACTCCAATTTAACTACTGCATTTTCAACACCCATCTGAGATTTGTTCTTTATGACTTACTCCAAGGCTGGTTTTAACTAATAGAAGCTAAACATTCATTACAAGCTTTTCTTTTATAAGGCAACTCAAGCAGACTTGCTTCAGGGGATGGCAGCAGGGACGACTCCTTCAGCACCCAATGGCTCTGTGTTATCTCATCACTCTAAGATACTGCCATGTATCCACTATGAAAGGGCCACAAAAGGGCCTATGAATCCATTTCAGGGAACCTTTCTCTTGGGTCAGGAAGGTCGGTAGGCCATATGTCATTCTCTTATGCCCTCTCTATTTCATTAGGTACCCAGAGATGATAATGACAGCCAACAGAAACACATCCAGTGCTGGATAAGGCAACAAAAAACTTCCGTTTCTTCCCCCAAGTAAACAAACTAGCATATTATTTTCTTGTGAGAGAGAACCCCCAGGAGAAGCAAAAGAAGGAGGAGTTGAAGGGGGGCCCTTACTGAACACACACATTGAATCAGTCTCTCTCACACGCACCATCTCTTGTACATAGATAAGATACTTGTACATATACCCATACACACATATATGTATACACACACACACACACACACACACACTCACACACACATTTTTAGGCTTTCCCATCAAGTTTCTTGGCAGACTGCCCACTGAGGGGAGGTACAAGGGATAGGCTAAAAAAAAAAATTGAGGAATCAGTCTCTGGGTGGGTGGATCAATGGATGGATTGCATCAGGCTGTGAGGGGATTAAGGGAAGGAGGGTACATAGCTTTTTTCATAATCCACGATGCAGCATTATAGTTATTTTTGCTTGACGACAACAGCCAAACAAACAAACAAAATAAAAGAAACCCCAACAAACCCCAACACAGGGAGAATAGGTGCACAGGGTAGAAAATTGAGTGGGGCTTAAGGATATTAGAAAGAGATGTCTAGAAGTCCACACAGAGACTAGGTGAAGAGGAAAAAGTGCAAAATCGAGGCAACGCATTTGAAGTCTTTTCGTTTGTTTTTGTTTTGTTTTGGGTTCTGTCCTTGTCCTCTGGACTGATCCACTCTCAACACTGCGAGCTGTGGTCTTGCTCTAGTTTTATGGTTAGGGTGGGCTCCACTGTCAGAGGGGCCCCGTTGGTGTAGTGGGAGGTTTTGTAGGTGATGGAGTGATCGGTCTTCTTGGCCGCAAAGCGGAACCGGTGGTAGTGGAGCACCAGGGCCAATGCGATGGAGACCAGCACCAGAACGGCACCTCCTGCTGCTATAACGTAATACCAGTAGGCTGGGATGGGCTGCACTGATACCGTGTCCACTGTGGGCTCGGTCCCTGGTAGGAGGGTGCCCCCTGGTGGAGAGACATAGAAGAGTGTTGCTAGGTGGGAAGCATGCACACTAGTAAAAAATTAATTAAAAAAAAAGAGAGAGAGAGAAATACATGCTTTCAAGAATACAGGCAAGTACAAAGCGATGCCGAAACTACTACTGAGTTATGAGTTATGAAAGTGCAATTTGGGTGGAAATACCAAATCTGGCCTGGCATGTAAAATATTCTCAAACGGTTTATTAATTAGCCTGGCTAGACTTAAAAGGCAAATTCCACCCTGCCTTGCCAACTCTGCTATGCCCATCAAAATCAGCCCAGTCTTGTCTATACAGAACAATTACAGTTGTCAGGCAATGACTAACACATCTTAGTTTTTTAATTGGAGGTAGGGTTTTATTAGTGAGTTGCAATAGAAGTTATAAGAGAAAAAAGTCCAAGCAGAAGCACAGCAGGAAAGTTACACACACACACACACACACACACACGTGCACACACACGCACATGCACATAAAAAGACTGAATCCTAGAAAAGCTATTGAACAAAAACGAAGCTGGCAGAGAAAAATTTAGATGGCCACAAAGTTCAGTAGCCTGACTCAGGTTGCCATAGAGATAATGCACCAAATTTGTACCCAATGGAGCCTGTGGGGAGAATTGGCCAGAGTACCATATGATGATAAGTAGGGTTACAACTTGTTTCTCCTGGAGACTTCCGTCAGATGAGAATCTGGCTCAGAATATTTCTGTGCCCCTCTGAGACTGCTCAAACTACAAATGATCTCTACTGATGAATAGAGTCTATCTTTGACCTCAGGAAAACCACTTACTACCCACCTATATTCTGGGGCTAGCAGCTGGTTCCGAGTCCCAAGACATGACGTAGTGGTTCAAGAGTGTGCCTGATACCTCTGCACAAGGTATTTTGGCAGAACCAAGAACACCACCAAGCATTTCTCCTGAAGTGCTCCCATCTGCATATGGTACTGGGCCTTGGTCAAAGTACTTTACTGAATATACAGAAAGGCTTGTGGGTTACTTAGCTTTTAGGCCCAGATCTGAACCAATACCATGTGAATCGCCTACAATCGTTATGGTTTAACAAAAATGTGCATTATGCCAGACCTTTTCTTCCTGACTTGTAGAATGTAGTTGACTTCCTAATCAGTAGTGGAATAAAGATATACTTTACTTAGGCAATCGTCAGAGAGAAGCTAACTTTCTTGCATTATCAACTTGCCAGCTCCTCTGGAAGGAGAGCTTTTTCTCTTTCCAAAGAAAACGGAATTCTTTATGTAACTCTCAGACAATCAGAAACACCTGCACTGGAATAGCAGAGAGGCTTCACCATGTATACCCTATTGATATCAAAGCCACAGTGAAGGTTCCTGGGCCCAGAGGATACAATACAGTAATCCTGTGCCTACCACAGTCCACTGTAGGTAGGAGGCCCTTAATGAATATTTCTTGCCTGAACAATACCATGCTACATTTCTCATTTTCCTCTTGTTTCACCTTCTTCCTTTTCCTCAATTCCCATACATCTGGGGATACCTTTATGCCTTTCAATAATGATATCACTATAGCTGGTAAAGAATTCTGTGGGCACACCCGGAAATTTGGAAATTGAGAAAAGTTGGCTTCAGATGGCCAGCCTGAAACTCCCAACAAAATGGTATCAACTCATTTATTCAGTTCATTAAGAATATGGGCTGCCTGATAACAGTCTCTGCCACTGTTGTTTGTTTTTGTTTTTGTTTTGTTTTTTGAAGGCTCAGAAGACTTCACGGGGAAAAAATAAAGTACAAGAAGGAGGAGGCCTGAAGCAAATGACTCCGAGGAGGGCTCCCCATAACAGCATCCTCCGGAGAAGGTATTTTCCTCTGATTTAGGATTTGGCTCTCATGGCCTTTGAGGGACATTCTCTAATGAGGAAGTGGCTTCTCAATCAGAGAAAAATGATTAATGAATCAACAGGGATTAACTCCACATCCAAAGCACCTGACCAGAATACAGCAACAACCCAGTTTTCTATCAAGCCAGAAAACAGTCACAAATGTCTACTCCTCACCTTATTACCACCTCCTACTTAAAGCCCCCCCAAATTCCCAGTCAGATGTATTTTTCCCAGATTAGTGGTAGAGTTCCACATTTTTTAAAAAAGCTTACCATTCTCACTGGACTTCTAAATGGCAATGTAGAGGAATTGGAGGTGAAAGGAGCCCAAGAGCCCTTAGGTCTCTGGAAGCTATCCCTGGGGCCAATGAGCCTGGGATGGCAGGCAACGGCCTTCATTATCTCAGTCAACCAAAGAGGCAATAAGGTATAGTAGATAGAGAGCCAACCTTGAACTTTAGAAGAACAAGCATGACCTCTGATATGTATTAGCAACTCTAATACAATAAATTATACATAAGTTGCTAATGGGTGTTGGTGGAGGAAGTTTCAATACCAGGCATTTCCTGCACTGAAGAAATCACAAATCTGGACCAAAACAAAAAATCGTAGTCTCTGAGCAAGGGATGGAGTGGAGGGAATGAAAAAATCAAGGGAACTCAGACATAGAATCAGCATGGCTATCCATACCTGGATCCTTTTCAAGATGGGGGATAGCTAGTGATGGAAACAAATTCAGTTCAGCTCTTTCTTCCCAAACAAACAAGGACTAAGCCTTATGGAACTTCCACCCTCTTTTACAGTTTTCCCTGGCGTTCTCAGGGTATGGCAGACATCAGCAAGATAAGAGTACCAGTGTCCAGAAGATTGAAAATGAAACATGCCACTCATCTCAAGCCATAGATGTGACAAACTTAATAAGCAGATACATTTTGGGGTATAGCTAATGTGGTAACTTGCTGTGCAGGACTATACATGTTTATAACAAAAGGGTTTTTTTTTAATTTTTCAATGAGTCGGTAGGGTTGGGGAAAGGGGACAGATTACAAATGCATGTAAAATAAACTAATTTTTTAAAAAGTTTTGTAAAAGACAAAAGAATCAGTGGATTCTATCCCACTTGCCTTCAAAATTTGGCCCTAGCAAAAGATCCTAACAATCTTGTAGAGTATTTTCTTGGGAAAGAATTCCATCTTCTTCAGGAAGTCTACCTGGGATCCCTAGTCAGTGATGATTTTGGATCCTGGCTCTCATATAATACCTGGCTCCCACTTTCCTGGTGGAATGTGTAACATGTGTTATGTTATGTAACATATATATGTAACATAACATATATTATTTTGAGCTCCTCAAGGACAGGGAATGTCTTTTGCTTGTATCCCTAGTGCTTAGCACAAGGCCTGGCACCTAGTGGGCACTTAGTGAATGCTTACTGTTGACTGATTTTTGTATTTATATATATACATATATATATATATATATATATATATAAAACACATATATAATTATGTTATATATAAAGATTATGTGAATATATAATTATATGTTATTAATAAAATTATATAATGCATAAAATATATTGCATAATTATATGTTATGTAATTATATAATATAACATAATATTATATATTATCCAGATAATTTTTTACCTACTACAATGTAATCTCAAAGAGAACTCGGATATATCTTATCTAAACTCTTTTATCTCTTCTTGTGCCTTGCACAGGGCTTGCACAAGGAAGAGGAATTAGGCTTGTCTAGCTTGTCTCCAGACGGCAGAACTGTGAGGAAAGGGTAGAAGCTGGAGAGAGACAGATTTAGGCCAGTTAGAAACGAAAACTTTCTAACAATTAGTATTATCCCAAAACAGCTGCCTTAGTAGAGATTGGGCTTCCTCTCCCTACAATTCTTTGAGGTTGGCTGACTGCTTGTGGAAGAAGTTGTAGAAGGGATTCTGGGTCAGTCTGGGTCAATTCTGAGGTCTGTCTCGTCCAGTATCTTAGATACTGGGACTCCAGAAATTTAATCGGTTGGCTACGTTGTTGAATTGAGCCAACGTTGTGGTCACATGTGAATGAACAAATAAATTATTTATTAAGTGTTTGTTTTGTGCAAAACTGGGGGCAGAAATAGAAAATTAAGACTGTCCCTACTCTCAAGGAACTCCCATTCTAACAGAGGAGACAAAACATAGAAAAGTAAATACACTTAAACTGTTCATCTGGTGCAGGAAATGCACCTAAAGCCTTCACATTTGGGACTAAACTGCATTTTAGCCCAGACTACAGACCCTCAGTGGATCCTCACAAAGCTCTAAAATTTCATTGTTCATTTGTTTAAACTTCTGCTCTAGGAGATGAGCAGGGCAGGCAGGGAGCTATTACTTTTCCGAGATTTCAGTCTTGTCCAGATGTTGTGATGTGTGCGCATGACCCCCACTGGGGTTTTATACTATTTATGACATATTTCCAAATAAATTTGTTCCTTTAAGAATTCATTTTGATAGAATAAAAGATGACATAATTTCTGTTATTTCTATTACTCAAATAACTTTTTTTTTTTGCTTTTAGGCAATTGGGGCTAAGTGATTTGCCCAGGGTCACACAGCTAGTAAGTGTCAAGTCTTTGGTCTGAGGCCACATTTGAACTCAGGTCCTCCTGACTTCAGGGCCGGTGCTCTATCCACTGTGCCACCTAGCTGCCCCTCAAATAACTTTTTTTTAAAAAAAACTTTAAATTGCTTCCACTTCTTTAAGTATTTTATATTAATTTGTTATTTAATAGGGTGGCTAAGTGGTGCTAGATTATTAGGCTTCGAGTCAGAAAGACAAATTCAAATCTAGCCTCAGAAACCTCCTAACTATGTGACCTTGAACAAGTCACTTAACCCCTGTTTGCCACTGGAGAATGAAATACCAGTGTCTTTGTCAAGAAAACCCCATGGACAGAGGTCCATGGGGTCATGAAGAGTCAGACACAACCGAAACTACTAAACGACAACAGCGATTGAGGGGGGAAAGATGTTTTCCAAACAAAAACTGTTTTTTTCTTAAAAACATGTGAAATCTGCTCTTTGAGATAACATGGGTAAGGACACTCACAGAGGTTATCGTCTTAGGTTGAAATGAAGGGCCTGGAGAAGAAAAGCTTCAAAGACAAGGAATTTGTTTAATTTGCTAGACGTAATTAAAAAAAAAACAAAAAAACAACGGTTGGTCCCACCCCAGACAGAGAGTTTACAGAAGATGGTGGAAGAATGAGGTAACCCGCCCACTGATCTCTTTTGAGAGAGAATGGAGAAGTACAAAGTGTCCTGAAAATGACTAATGAGGCAAATATCTCCCCTTGATCTTTGTTTGCCACTTAGGCAGTAAAGGGATGAGTGAGAAACATCACAGGGTTTTCACCAAAGCCACCAGAAGCCGCTCTGATCTTTGGAGGGCTAACTCTGCCATTATATTCAGATCAATGGCAACGCGAAATCTCTGCCTTCTTCCCCTATCCCTAGAGCTTGTTTTCCTTTCTTTCAACCAAGCACTGTCCTTTATGTTCATGGAGAAGGAAGGTCAGGGAAAGAAATTTTCATCCCCTCAGACAAACTGACCTTGGCAGCTGTTTGGATTAATGGTAAACTATGGGGAATGTGTCCGAACTCTCTGACGGTGTACAGTGTACCTCACACGTAACCCATGAGTGTCTCCAAAAGCAAACAATGTCAGCCAAGTAGTTATCCCGTTTACACATATCTGATCTCCATGCTTCCTTGCTCAGCAACACCTATTCTTAATCTGGCATTCGGAGGAGGGTAAGAGAGGAGCCAGGAGCAATTCACACACCACAGCTGCCTATCTGAAACATGGGCATGGATTGATTACTAATACTTTCCTTCCCTTCATCAGAGGATCACTCTGCCTAGTACTAATTAACCCTCACAAGCATCCTTGTAACACTTGAAAATACTCCAAATGGAGCCATTCCTAGATTATGTTGAAACAGAAGGACTGTCTCAGGTCCTACACTTTGGGGGAGCCATATTCTGGGCTGGGGGTATTCAAGGAAGCAGCTAGAAGGTGAATGGGCCAGTTGGTGCTAAACAAGGTTCATTTGTATGTAATCCACTCACATTCCCCTAATCTGGCTCCAATAAACCAGCGGGACTCTCGTTTCTTCCCACTTAGACTACCCTTCAGACATTTATTTTCCTCCTTCAAGTCTGACCTAGATGTTCATTTTAAACACATGTGATGTATCCACAGTTGGTTTGTTCTTGGATTTGGGGGACCAAGAAAACACATGGTATGCCAGACCTTCATCCCCCACCCTTTGAGATGGCTCCAAGTCCCAGATGGCCCTGGCTATAAGATACACTTCAAAGAAAAATGAGCAAATTACAATGAAGTAGTTTACTGTTTCTATTCATCCCATGGGTACTTGATGGGTACAGCAATGGTTCTTAGGACAACCTCATCTTCCTTAAAAGAAAAGTCTAGCATCTAGCACACAAAGTCTAGGATTTTGGTCGGCCAAATAGTTGGTGAGCCACACACATTCATCTTCACTATTCCTTGTTTCAAAACAAACATACTGTAACAGTAACAACAGCTCTCTCTTAGGCTGCAACGTGCTAAAAAAAAAAAGCCAAAAAACCTGCCCACTAAGTGCAGAAAACTGATTACTACTTTATGCATATTTATTAGCTTCTTTATTATTACTTTTCTATTAGTTTTTTTTTTAAAGTATTGGTTGAGAGGAAATAATCCACCATCTTAAGTGGATTACTTTTCTGGGCCTTTTCATTCTTTTCTGTGTATAAGGCACATTTTCATTCTTTAATTGTTCAGTTCATAAAAGAGATACATGATCGCATCACATTTGTATGAAATGCTTTAAAAACATACAAGTCAGAGTGCAAGTTATTCTAAGTGATTTCATAACAAAAAAAATGGACTGTTAAAACGCATGAACACACAATTTATCCATTTTCTCCCCTTTCCCTCACACACCATTATAAAGCCACAGATAACATGCCAAAGCAGAAAGCACATTTGAGGCTATTTGAGTGCAAAAGAAAATATTTCATGGTGAAAAGGAAAATGAGAAAAAAGCAAAACTTTTAAAGATATCTCCAAATCTCAAAGTACCCAAATGACCCAGGACCGAAAGCATTTGCCTTAAGTATTTACTCTAAAAACATTCTCAGGTCTTCCTAAGAAGGTGATATTTTCTGTCTCAGAGTCATTCAGAATTACTCCTCTCCCCTCCTCCAAAGAAACAAAACAAACAAACAAACAAAACAAACCCAAGCCACCAAGACATGGGACATAATTTTCTCCACCACTACCAGATCCCATAGCTCCCAACCTCGTCCTGTTGCATTTGGAAATACATAACTTTTTTCTCTCTTTGTTTCCTCCTCTCACATGAAAGGGGATGTTTTAATATTCAGTATACCCAACTTTACCCCACAGAGGTCTACCATGACATTTGTTTACATGTTTCTTTGTTAAAGGAGACATTGTTAAGCTTGGACATGGGCTGAATACCCATTTGTTTATTCTCTTAGAGAAGTGAAGCCCTTGGCATCACACTCGTCAGTCATAGCCCGAATCATGGGATCCCACCTTCACATCACAATGCCACGTATAGCTACTTCTGAGAAGTCTTTTCTTATCTTTACATGGGCACTTTGACCCTCACTACATTATGGCAGTTATGACCTGACCTGATAGTCAGGCGTACAAGAAGATAAAGATTTTATTACTCAGTAAAGATTGTACCTGGAACCTTACAGGTAAAAACTTTTGAATTTAAACTGTCATCAAGTAAATTTTTGAGAATCCTTCGAAAATTTTTGATTCAAATTTACATATATATATATATATATATATATAGATATAGATATAGATATAGATATAGATATAGATATATAGATATCATATCTAAATAATTCCAAAGCATGTAAACTTAATACCTTGAACGTATGTATGTATCCACGTGTGTATAGGTGTGTGGGCTCAGGCACATGTGTCTTGATGAGATAGAAACAGGGTGGAGGTAATTCCTACTATAGAAACCTGTTTTTTCCACTCTATCCCCTCTCCAGTCCTCATCTTTCTGTCTCCTCTGCTGTCTTAGAGCTATGACTGGTGAGGGGCAAATTACGCAGTTGAAGAGGGAGTTAGAAAGTACATCCAGGTAACAAATCAGAGACTTATCTGTCCCTGAGTGACTTTGAGCTAGCCATGAGTTGGGCAGATTAATGGGAATAAAGATAAAGTCTAGACTTTGGATATGAAAATGACTTTCTTTATCTCTGATGTGCTGTTGCCTCTGGGGTGAGATCCAGTAAAATCTTAACAAGGCATAATAGCATCACACAACTCTGTTTGCATAGAACAGGATATGATTAAACCCTGCAAATATAGAGAAGCGTATGTGGGTGTTTCTGTGAGCAGCTTATACACAGGCAAAGTGTAGAAGGCTAAATACCCTTTACTTGGGGCACCACACCTCCTTTCACACATATACTAATCACCCACCAAAAAAGACTTTGGAAATGTCACTTTTGTGGGATTATGTGTAGGAGGATACAAAAAGCCAACTAAATTTTCCCCAGCACAGAGAACTTCCATTCGTTTAGATTCTGAAAAGGGTCCTTTTCTTTCTGAATGAGATAGGCTCCCTAAATTCTATTGTTATTGCTGTATGCTCTATTGACTTAACAGGGAGATTAAAGAAAATTCTCATTTCCTATTTTCTTGCCCTATATTTGAAGTCTTCTGTTCTAGACACTAAATACACCATTTCTCCCTGTTTCTTTTACTTTTAAACATCAACTTCTGAACTCTAATTGTCCCTCCTTCTGACAGTCATTTCCAGAGTCTACTCCTAATTTTCTTCCTTCACAAAACCACCTGCCATTATACCTTACTGTGGAATAATTGAGACCGCTGTCTTGGTGCCCGGAAACTAGAAAGAAACAATCTTCATGCTAAAATAAATCATTGCCACCTCATTTCACTTTTAATTTGCTACTGATTTCTTCGTTAACTCTGTCTACTGGCTCTCTTTCCACACCACTCATACATTTCAAGCCTCGTTGCTCCCCATTGGTCAATGTAGGGCCAAGGGGTTTATCTGTAACCTATTTGTCTCTATTATTGGCTTCTAAACTTTAATTAAACAAGAGATAGTAAGACTCTAAATCCCTTCTGCTACCTCTGCAGGCGTGGTTAGCGCCATCTAGTGTTGGGAAGACATATCACCCATTTCCCCTAAGTAGTAACACCATCAATATTTGGTCAAGATTAAAGAATATTGTTTTTCAAATTCACATCACATGGGACGGGAGGGTGGGGAGGCAGAAGAACAGCATATATGTATATTTTAAAAGCATCTTTTACCTGAAAAATTCTCACCTGGAAAAGCTGTGATAGGTTCTGAAAGAGAAAAAAAAATGCTTTATATTAGAGGAAGGCAAAAGTGACAATGGAAGAGGATGGATGAAGCTAAACTATTTCTGGTAACTTTTCCATAACACCCTCTGGGCTTGGTTTGGGAATATCAAACCCCAAAACACATGGGCTGTATCCTTTACATATTCTGTACCATACCTAACACATCATCAGAGGAAGAAGGCGCCTAAAGTTTCTTTGGAACCAAAAAAATCCTTCTTGGATTAATAGATTCCCAAACTATCTGTAATCAGTTACTTGCCACTGATTACTTTCTCACTGGATCACTTTTAGATGCTGGGAGCCTGGGAGTTTGCCAGAGGGACCAGGGCAATCCCAGGTGCTGGTGATATCACCACATACACACATACCCAAGACAAATGTACCAAGAAAAGCACTTTGTGAGTTATTAGAGTTACTTACTGCTCAGGCCAAAGAAGTTCTAGTCCCTTCTCAATGCTACCTGTTTTCTACACTGGCATAATTCTGTTGCCCACAGTTATGGCATGGAAGACAAAATGTCTAGCAAAGCAATAGTAGAGAAACCCAGGTAGGAAAACATTAACCCCAAGGTGAGACACTGAGTGGGAAGCGTGTCTCTCATTGAGGTTTTGCAAGGATATCTGACCAATAAGACAATATTGCATCTTGCTCTTCTACGGGGTCATTGAGCTACTCAATGGACACTGGGCAATTCTCCAATGACCATTTAGTTTATGCATTTGGTGGATAAGATACCAAATTTCCAATAACTTGGTTTATATGCCAGGGTTTTCCCTATAATCCATTCAGCTGAAAGAATCTCTTACGTAATTATGCTATTGCTAACGCAAAGTTGGTTTTTTATTTGTTTGTTTGACATTTTTTTAACCTTTTTTTGGGGGGAGGTAGTTTTGATTTTTGCTCACTTGTTTGTGAAGGCTCACATTAAATCCATCCAGTCCTCTGAGCATGTAATCTTGACTGGCAGGTGGTTTTCATCCTGTAGCATTTTCCTTGCTAAAAGCTAGAGTTTGATGATGGCGTCTTGGCATTCAGAAGTTCTTTATACTTAGTGTACATCTATTTTTGATTGGGAACATGGCACCCTAGCTTTGCCTCATGTCACATTCTAGCTATCCTAAACAGTCCCAGGGTATTATACCCACTTTTAACCTCAAGCACATAAGCCTTCACTTTCTAGACAGCAATTTTTTCCCTTTCTTTTCCCTTTCCCTTCCTTAGTAGTGAGGAAGAGGAATAGCCAGCTCCTTTGAACAAGGTAACAACTGAATTTTGTGCCCTCAGTTGAATCCAGGAAGCACAAGATTTAACACAGTGACATGCTGTCTTCTGGTATGTACACCAGCACTTACTGTCTAGTTTGGAGCAACCCAGAGGAGACAGATGTTGACATACCCATGCAATTCTCTAGGGGGATATCAGTGCCTATCCGGATATCATCGATGGCGATCTCTCCTGAGCGTCCTTTGCCTAGAATTCCCTCAAACACAATCTATGGAAACAATCACAACAAATCCCATGGTTAGGTGACATTTCCATGACCAAACAGTGCAAAGATTTCTCATTTCCTCCCTACTTGTCTTTATTTATTTATTTGCTTGTTTATTCATTTATTTAGTCATTCATTCATGCATTTATTGCACCTGGGATGCATGTGTTGACCATATGGCAGCAGCATTTAGAAATCTTAATTTGAAAAGAGTTAGTTCAGATCAAATGCACAGTTGAGGGGGTGGAGGGAGAAAAAACCCCACACAAGGTGATGAATTTTTATATCTAATAACTAGTACACGTTGATTAAAAAGAACCACGATTGGTTTATGTTAAAAGGAAAGGAACTAACTTGAGCTATGTAGAAAGGTCTTTCCTTTTTTCTTCCCCTTCAATACACAAGTTGGGTATTTGGAAGCATTCTTATAACTCAGAGGAAAGGAATAGGGTGGGACACTGTGAGAAAGGGAGCATATTGGAGTCACTTTGCTTTGAGGGCACAGCTTCCTTACGGGCACACCATTATAACCAGGAGCAAATGACTCTCAACAACACCCCTCTAACACAGGGATGGGAAGGGCAGTGAGCAAACAGAGGTGTCTGTGCTCTCCGATGTTAAATCATCACTCTTTTTCTCTCCCTCACTCAGCTTTCTCTCTGCTAACTAGCACATGTCCTCTGGCAAGCTAAGCAAACAGTTGGCTGCCTCAGCCGCCATCTGTTGCTGCTTCTTGGCTGGGGAGGAGAAGGTTAATGCTGAAGCTGGTATGGAGTCACCTATTCCAAAGGGTGCCTCGGGTGATTTCTGCCCATCCTACCAGCAACAGAGCAGCTCCCACCTCTCCTGTGCCTCACTCAGTCTCTTTCTCTCTCTCTGTCTCTGTCTCTCTCTGTCTCTCTCTGTCTCTCTCTCTCTGTCTCTCTCTCTCTCTGTCTCTCTCTCTGTCTCTCTCTCTCTCTCTCTCTCTCTCTCTCTCTCTCTGTCTCTCTCTGTCTCTCTCTCTGTCTCTCTCTCTCTGTCTCTCTCTCTGTGTCTCTCTGTCTCTCTCTCTGTCTCTCTCTCTGTCTCTGTCTCTCTCTCTGTCTCTCTCTCTGTCTCTCTCTCTCTCTCTCTCTCTCTCTCTCTCTCTCTCTCTCTCTCTCTCTCTCTCTCTCTCTCTCTCTCTCTCTCTCTCTCTCCCCCTCCAACAGAGATCATAAAAGCCAGAGTGGCTGGGAGAGAAATGATTAGTTTAGGACTCCTCACATCCAAGGGCCACAGAGAGAGCAGGCAGCTTCCACTCCCCTTGCCTGGCTCAGATTCATTAAGGCAGGTCAGGAAAGGCTGTGTATATTTCCTTCAGAGAATCTTAAGAACTAGACACTGCTTTTTCCTTCTAGAGGGGAAGGTTTGTTTGTGTTTATTTTTCTGGCTTTTGTGTCAGGCTACCAGGTAACAATCAAAATAAAATGGGGTGGGGGTGGGGGGAAGCGTTTGTCCAGAGAAGATTTCAGCAATAGAGAAGCAATAGGAGGAACAAAGAACCAAGTCTGGGTGTATAGATAGGCACATTCTGAATAACAAATAAGAGTGTCATTTAGTTGCTATGGCAACGGGAGAAACACAATGAAAACAGCGGCACTTAACCACGTTCCCTAATGATGAATGGGCACAGCCCTTTGAAATATTGAAATAGGCTGAAAATGATTCCCCTGAATCTTCACACAAATCTCCTTTTATCACCTCACCTGATACTCCATTTCATCACTTGGCAAGATGATCCTTCCTTGTCTCCACTCGCTGCCTTGGTCTTCCCGAATGACCCAGAGGAGCTTGCTGGCTTGGCTTGCTTTCCGAACCACTTGCAGAGCGATCCCACTCCCACCTGTGGCTTGGTATTGGAATTCCATACAGACAGGGCTCCTGGGCAGGTAGAGGGCAGGGCTGATGAGCCGGCCGTGCTGGTCCTCTCTCCTTCCATTACTCTGGAGCCTCAAATAGTTCCTGCCATCTGCCAGAAACAAACCCAAAGCAGGGGGGTAACATTAGCCCCTGTCAATGACACTAGCACTCACAGTTTTGTTTCCAAATAGGACCCCAGTGGATCAGGACCCTAGGATGAAAGATGGGGCCAAAAGGGTGGCTGGTTTGATTTTTTTTCCCAAACCACAAGTTGTCTAAGTGGGATAGTGGCTGCTGATTGCAAAGTCTTAAAAACTGCCTCCCCCTGGCTGCTATGTCTATCTAGCCTTTACAATATCTTGCCTCCAGCTCTGATCACAAAGGAGGCATTTTAGCTGTCACATTGCTACACATGATGCTAGATGGCTTTTGGGATTCAGAGACACCTATCATCATTTAGAAGCCACAATATAGATGTTATTAAGGAGGAGGTGGGGTCTGGGGAAGTGGGGTTTGGGGAGGAAGTGGCACAGCGAGGGTGCCACCAAATGGGCATGTACCTCCCACTCCTCTCCCAATCCATCCAGGGAGCCTTGCTCTTGGCTGCCTTTTCTCAGAAAGCCAGACACACGCAGATCCAATGATAACAATAACCATTATTATTGCTAATGAGCTCTGGGGGCCTCTAGAACAGAGCTTCACTTTTAGCACCGAATATAAATATCCTAGAAAATTAGGGTTTTCCCCTTCCAGATTTTGGGAGAATGAATTTAATTGCTGTTTGGTTTCAAATACAAACCAAATACCAAGCAGAATACCAAGTTCCTCACATTGTGGTTCTGTAGCCAATAAGAAAAGGGTGCCAGTGGCTTGCACCTGCAAATCCCAACTCGTGTGGGTATCTGACCGCTTGTACAAAGGACAGGTTGTAAATCAATTGCATCTGCCTCTGGGTAAACAAAACATACAGGGATACCTTCTGTTCAAGAGCTATGCCTGAAAATCTGCTGCAAAGTGATAGGAATACCATTTTCACTGAAGACCCAGCACAGAACATAGGAAATAAATAGCATAACACTTGGCATCATCCACAGCTGGATGGTTACATGCATCTATTTTAGATATCTTGGGTAGGTAAAGAATGAAGCTGAGAGGCCCTGAGGCCTCAGCATGGCAGCACCTTAGCAATTGCTAGAGTTATTGGCTACCCTTCTGCCACTACCACCCTGCCTAATATCATCCTGGCTAAGCCAGGACTGGGCAGTCCAAGAGGTAGGTGCCCTGGACGTTGCCTCTTCCCCCTCACTCCTCCCTAGACTCCTCTTTATCAGTAACTCAAAAAGGAATGGCCCTTGCATTGTCAAACACTGTTCTCTCTGATTCCTTCTTTATTTCTAGCCTTTGCGTCAAATTACACAAATTTCACAGCATGTGCTCTGACTTCTGTTGCTGCCTTATCCCCTCCCCCCCAAATTACCCTGAATTGAATTTGGCTCCCCAGCTCCCTTCCCTTCCCCCCAAGTTGCAACAGAACAAAACAGAGACCAAAACAAGCATGATCTCTTTTCACAAAGTGTGAGTGGTTTCCATTTCACACTCAAATAAGCACGGGGAAATTCTAAAAACTGCAATAGTAATAAACAACTATCTTAGTAAGGTAATAGCATTTAAATTCTCTTCCATGAAAGGAGTTTACCCTGGGAATAGACTCAACTTGGCATTCAAGGCCCTCTATAATCTGGCCCAGTCCTTCCCAATCATGGAATTGCCAACTAACATGAACCTTCTTTTCAAGCTGGAATAGTTTCACTCTACCATACTACAAATACTTTGTATTTATTCAGTGCCTGTGTTCTTCCCTCCCTGTTCCACCCAGTCCACATGAATTTCTCCCTGCTCTCAGCTTCCATAAGCATTTAATTGCTCTGTGTCACCTATTCATCTGGGCATGTAATCACACATGGCCTATAACACTGTCACTCAGTTGTTTGATTTTTAGCTTCACCTTCAGTTAAATGAGAGGCTTCTAGAGGGCAGGAGCTATAACTTGCCTTTGTACTAATTCTTCCACATACCTGGAATGCATTGCTTCCTCACCCCTACCTCCTAAAGTCGCTGGCTTCCTTCAAAGGACTTCATCTCAAGTTCCACTGCCTACATGACATCTCTCAGCTGCTAGTGCCCTCTCCCAGAAAAAAAAAAATCACTTTATACTTTCTTTGTATATATTTTGTCTTTGTTATCTGTCTATGTGTTGTTTTCCCCCGGTAAGATGCAAACTTCTTGGAAGGTTTTTGGGGGGGGAGTCTTTGGGGGTCCAGTGCCTAGCCCAGTGCTTGGCACATAGCAGGGATTCGGTAAATGCTTGGTGAATTAGAGAATGAGAGATGTATGCTTTTTTTCTACCACGCTCTGCATCTGTGTATATGAAGGCACTTAATGAACACATATTAGATGCATAAATGATAAATGAATGGGAAAAAATGACAGCTCTTGATGTACTAGAGATAGAAGAGAAATGGGTATCTCTGAGCCTGGGTGTCCTTCAAGTTCATATAAGCATTCTAGAGCTATTTCCCATCCTCTTCTTAGTCAACAGACCATTTCAGGAGCAAAGAAATGACCAGAAACTGATCATCACAAGTATCCGGTTATCCAAGGAGCCATCCACTGACCAAAGAGGTCCTCTCTTCCACTCCCTATAATTTAAAAGTCATCACTTGCTTCTCCTCATGGGTGAAAGGAATTGGATTTCAAAGACTTGGCATTCCACTTTCTCTTTCATATTTTTCTCAAACAACAAGACCTACTTACTGACTAAAAATTGCTTGGCAAGTAATGCTGTCACTCGTGTGAATTTATGTTCTTAAGAGGCAGGGAGACAGTGAAACAGTGAGAAATTACTAGGTGGAAAAGGAATCTGTGTGGCGGTGTGGAGGATGGTGCTGGCGAGAGTCTATTTTACTTCCATATATTGCTACCCAAACAAAGGGCATCATTAGGCCAAAAACCTTACAGAGTTATTCCCCCTGGGACTCAGGGATGCCTTTTCTCTCTCTCTACATGATGGTGATAACATTGTAGTTTGTATGGCAATTCTGAGAACCAGGGAGTTAATGCTGGTGAAGTGCTAAGTACGGTGGAAGCTGCTGATGGGAACATAATTCACCACTGACATCCAAGCTAATCCACTCATCTGTGGGATCCAGAGACTAGCAGAGCTCCGATTTTCACTCTGTTAAATCATTTGCTCCCTACTTGCCTATTAAGTGCTATGAGCTCTGGGGGAAAGATGATATGCAAATTTGAGGAATTAGTAGCAGACATGAATTTAAGCACTTGTTAGGCTGGAAAGTATCTCTTATCCTTCACAGAGAGAGACCAGAACTGATCCAAGGTCATGGTAGAGTTTGGGTCCAAAGTAGGACAAGTCCAGGGAGGGGTAGGAGATATTTCCTTCCAATGTCACCCTGAGGATTGTAGTTTGATCTCAGGAGTCTATACTCCTGAAGGGACGAAAGAGTGTTTGGTTTGACTGGAAGATTTTATAGAAATCTTCAAGACTATACTGAATCTAGAATGGACCAATTCATAGTATTTCAGAGTTGGAAGGGACTCCAGAGAGTTAGTACAACCTGAATCAGGAATCCCATCTACAACACACCTGAGAAGTAGTTTCCACCTGAAGTCCAAGAGTGACAGGAAACTTACCTAAACATACTATCCCAAGGCAATGCATCCCACTTTCATATTCTAATTGTTAGGAACCATTTTCCTTCTATGGACCTGAGGTCTACCTATTATTTCTACCTGTTGGTCTTTGGTATAATCTGTGGGGTCAAAAAATACAAGTCTAATCCTTTTACTGCATGAGACCTTTTCAAATACTCAAAGACAATTATTATGCCCCAGCCTCTAAATGTCTTTGTCTCCAGGCTAAGCACCTCTAGTTCTTTCAAGCCATCTATGGTTTGGTTTTGGTTTTCAAGCCATCTACGGTTTGGTTTTGAGCTCTATTATCATGCTCATTGCCTTGCTCCGAAAGTGTACCAGGTTATCAATAATAATCCAATACTAACTCAAAATCTTATAAAAGTGAATGTTGAAAACTATCTTTATATGTAGTTGGAAAAAATACTGTTGGAAAAAAAGATAAATCCAAAGGTGTTATGCAAAATAATAATAATAATAATAATAATCCAATACTTCAAGGATACATTATTTCATCAGTATGGATAGTCCTTTCACCGACATAGTTCCTAATCCTTCTATGTCTCACTAGATGATCTTTATAAGTTGATGTGGCAGGAAAAATTCACCAACTGGTGGCCAACTTTCTGATAATCACCTTCTGTGAACTTAGCACTCACACCATGAGGAAGCATACAACAAGAATACCGATTGAGCTTGTCAACATCTTTCTTAAAACGTGGTGCTCAGAACTCAACATAATATTCCAGATGTGGTCTGTCCAGGGCAGAGTAAAGCAACACTATTATAATCTCTCGTTTTATATATTATCTTTCCATTAATAAAGTCGAAGAGCTCACCAACTTTTTTTGACTCCCACACTACCCTGCTGACTCATAACAAAGTAGGAAAGTCCTCAGAGTGATTGATATCTGCAAGAAGACTGGATTCCCCTGATTTGTCCAAGTTTTTGTCAGAAACAAGATCCATTCTCCTTGGACCCCTTAAGCCTTCTGACCCTGCTGCTTCCCAAAGGTCCCACTAGGCTCTAATTATCCCCATAGCTTTTCCATCCAACTATAGTAGGTAGTGGTACAGTCTTACACTAATAGAGACTCTTGGATTGAAAGGAACCCTCAGAGATCAGAATCTACCCCCCCTGCCTTCAGGCAGCTGCTCTTAAATAACCAAGGAAGCAGATGTTGACTCTTCGAGAAAAAAAGATTCCTTAGGCTCATCATCTGTGCACTCTGCTGTCTAACAACCTTCACCATGAGAACATTGTTCTATCCAGATGCCATTTGTCCTGCTGTAATTTCAAGTCCATTCTCTCCATGATGGAGAACATCCGGTCTCTACCCTCTCTCTTCCTGGCTTCTGGAGAAGGGCTGCTACCATTTCAGAAGTGGGTGGGTATGG